GTAAAATGATGGCAAGATCTAAATTTATTCATAACTTTGGAGAAAAAGAGAGGAATTATATAGACTATGTCTTTCCCAGAGAGGCCCCAAAAAGGATATGATTAGGGTTACAGTTAGGGTTAGGGTTTGGTTAGGATTGACTCTCTATGGCAGACATGTCAAACACAAGGCCCGGGGGCCGGATGCGGCCCACGAAGTGGTTTCATGTGGCCCGTGAAGCCATTCTGGAAACAGTGAGGGAATGGCCCCCGCTACCTTGGCCCTGGCCCAGGCCAGCCGGGAGCCAATGTACAATTTTGTGGTGGCCATCTTGGCACTTGCCCCGGTGGACCATGCCTTTGCACTTGCCCCGGTCCCACCCCCTTCTGCCAAAGACCCTCAGATCTGTCCCACTCCTGCCCAAGCCCCCATAGGCACCCTTGACGTGAATGATGTAGAACTGGCCACGCCCACCCAGTAGGCCACACCCACTCCATCCACACCCACCCAGTAGGCTGCATCCACTCTGGCCACACCCACCCGGCCCCTCCAGGGCAACCGCAATGCTGATGCGGCCCTCAGTGAAATTGAGTTTGACACCCCTGCTCTATGGTCATTATGAGTTAGGTGGCTTATAAATATGATTTATAAAAAAACACTCTTCTCCATTAGCACTGGACAGAAATATATCAGTCAGGGAAGATTCAAATATTTTACATTTCTAAGGACTCTTCAACAGAATAGCACTAAAACGCTGTTATCCAGAGTAGAAGCGGACATAAATGTATGCAAGCTGAATTAATCCCTCACCACATTTCAGGTCCCTATTCTGCATTAAAGTAGGGATTTTGAGAGAAAAGCATAGAGGAGTCCCTTAGTGCCAGTTACTAGCAGTAGAATCTGGGATCCCACAGCATGATGCTGAGAATCTTCTACTGGTAGTAACTGGACCGGCATCAAAGGAAGTGTTCTCTCTGCTTTTCTCTCAAAATCTCTACTTCAATTCAGAATAGGGACCTGAAAAGTGGTGAGGAATTATTTCAGCTTGCATACATTTATGTCCACTTCTGCCTTGGGTAACAGCATTGTAGTAGTATTCTGTTGAAGAGCCCTTAAGAAATGTAAAATATTTGAAACTGCCCCGACTGATACATTTATGTCTAGTGCTAATGGAGAAGAGTGTTTTTTTTTTAATAAATCATACTTATAAGCCACCTAACTCATGATGACCCTGGAGAATCTCATTACAAGAAATTTTAAACAGAACTTTTGAAGTTTTAGGATTTCATCTGGGAAGGTTAAGTGTTCTATTAAAGCACAGAAAGTATTGTTTCCCGTTCTTTTCTTGCTGTAACATGAGTTGTTTGTTTTTGAGGTAGGCAATTACAAGAATAATTATCTAGAGAAATGTCAGTTGGTTTCCCAGTCTTTTTTTCTTTTATCACATGATACTATTTAGTGCTTTTATATGTCCGGATTAAATGGTTCTCAGTACTGTAAGCACCTAGACAGGATAAAAGTAACCAGTATATAGCCTGTAATAAATGAATAAAAAATGAAGATAGGTTGGAGAGAAAATGAAGGTTTTAAATGAAGGTTTTAAGTTTGCTCCACTCAGCAAGTATCATTTGTTTTTTACATTTTTACTGGTTTCTATGACATCCACATATTTAAACAAAATAGCTTATTACAGGTAGTCCTTATGACCATAATTGAGCCTAAAATTTATGTTGCTAAGTGAAACATTTGTTAAGTGAGTTTTGATCCATTTTACTACTTTTCTTGCCATGGCTGTTAAGTGAATCACTGTAGTTCTCAAGTTAGCAACATAGTTGTTAAGTGAATCTGACTTCCCCATTGACTGCTTGTCAGAAGATCACAAAAGGTGATCACATAATCCCAGGACACTACAATGCCATAAATATGAGTCAGTTGCCATGCATCTGAGTTTTGATCACATGACCATAGGTATGCTTCAACGGTTGTAAGTGTGAAAAATGCTCATAAGGCACTTTTTTCAGTGCTGCTGTAACTTCAAATGGTCATTAAATGAATTGTTGTAAGTTGAGGACTACCTGTATTTTGCTCGTAGATGACTGAGCAGTGGGGAGCAGCATAGTGTTTAGAACTGATTTCGATTGCCCCCCATTTATAAACTTAGGTTATTTCCCATCCCACCATAAAATTATTGGTTTTGTCAGCCTTTTCACATCTCAGTTTTCTGATCGGTTATAGGTGGTCTCAAGATATAAATATTAAACAAGTATTTTGTAACAGGAGTGGGCTTGTATTACACTATATACTTATTTGATTATATGCATGCACATCATATTTGATACACATGTCTAAATCATGGGTACTTAAGAAAAATGAGATACCCCAAAAGGTCACAATCAAAAGACTGAAAAATAACAATTTCTTTCAGAAAAATTAAGGCAAGTTTAGAAGACGTATCAGGATTTGGAGTGAATTACTAATTTGGGGGACTAAAATAAAATTCTAATAATATAGATGTGAGATTTCAGTACTATAGCATGACCTAGGGAAAATAACGTTTATGTTTGAGAAAGGGGGATCTTATTTAATGAGATGAATATGCTGGTTTTGCAGAAGCCACCCAACTATATGTGGAGCCATAATTAGAGTGTCAAACCAAGTGACTCAATCATGGGAGAGTTTTCTGCTCAAGCAGTTTTGAAATAAGAGGGTGCTGGGCCAGGGCACTAGTTATTTTAATGAACTCTTTGAGAGGATGTCTGTGGAGATTCTCAGTCATCCAGGTCATGGTTGTTTCAAAGGTGCTTTTCAAAAGGCAATTGGGCTTTCTTGGTTTTTGTCAGGAAATTTGCACAGCAGGTGTCCAAATGAAGTCATACACGAGCTTGTAGTTTTATATAAATAAATATATTTCACATCTCCATTTACAGCAAACAAACAGGAGGTAAACAGGAGCATCATGAGATGAATCACAGGACACACAGGGCACACAGAAGAAAAAGGTGGGGGGAAAGGGAACCCCCCCTCCACACCCACAGCAACCAATCACAACGTAGGTTGCCTTACACAGGAGCCAGCACTCTCCAACCAATCAACTACAACTGTGTGTTCTGGCTCATTGTACCACCCCACAGATCCAGCTACTAAATTTAAATATCTTACCAGTTCCCCCCCCCTTTTTTTTTCCTTGAGAGGTTGTCACTATTATGAAAATAATTCAGGGATTAGCTGAATCTAATAATGCAGTATCTAACAATCAGAAGTTACAGTGCTTCTGGGCAGGAAGATAATATTTTGACAAATAGAATATATAATTATTGAATTGACACAAGCAGGCAGATGTCACCAGCAGACAGGTGGGTTGATGATGAATTATGACCGAAAAGTCAAGGAAGGCAGACATGGTCCTGGCAGTGTTACAGAGGTTTTCAGTGTCTTATTTTTCTAGCATTTTAATTGGGTTGGTTTAACCTGTGCAATTGCTGTATATTTGCTGCTTGTCTTGTTATTTTCTTAACATGCACTTTTCTTGTTTTGTGTTGTTGTTTTTCTCATCACTCTGGGATGATTTGCATCGCGTTCTTGTACGCTCCCATTCTCCCTGAAGAAATTAAAGGCAGCTTAAAAATGGTTGTACATAACAAACGATAAATAACATTTATTATCAAGGCCACTTGCACCTCAGCTCCCCTCATTCAAAACGAAGCTTATAGCAGGGTGATTAGTTTGTTTTGAAGCAGTTTGGCTCAGCTTGAAGCAATTACCCATGCACATTGTATGTATGAAAGGAAGAGGTCTGGCCTTTGAAATCTTGTACAGATGAGCCAAAAAGAAAATGATCAAACACCAGTAGCAACACCACCAACCCGGAATGCTAATGCTGTGGTACTGTACTTTCTCTTGTGTGCTGAATTAAGTCTTGGCAGCTTTCTACAAGCAGATGTTAACAGAGCTGTGGTCCATAGGAATAAAGGACTCTCAGAAAAGGTTTTGGCAATTGCACAAGAGTGCGCTTATTCTGTGTGAAGGCATATGTGTGCATTTGGAACATCTTATATGCTTGTACTCTATTAGGCAGAAATAGATCACTCCTGGGATCTCAGTTAATTAAGTACCATCAAATTGGGTTCACTTCTGGCCATTGCATTTCTCTGTAGTGATCATCCATAGCTCAGTGATCTGTTTGATCTTATCCGGTTACTATTTTTTCTTCTCTTTCTACCTATCTAGCTACTACCTGCCTACCTGCCTATTTATTTATGACAGTTGCAATGTCCCGGAATCATCTGGGATTCCCTTTTGCGACCTTCTGACGAGCAAAGTCAATGGGGAAGCCAGATTCTCTTAACAGCCATTTTACTAACGTAACAGCTGCAGTGACTCACTTAACAACTGTGGCAAGAAAGGCTGTAAAATGGGGCAACACTCCTTTTACAACCGTCTTGCTTAGCCACGGAAATGTTGGGCTCAATTATGGTCGTAAGTCGAGGACTACCTGTAGAGTAGTTTAAAGCAAAAGGCTAGGCCAGAGATTAAGTAGAAAGTTATTTTCTTCGGAATTCGTACTATTTGTATCTTGTGCTCTGTCGGAGCACCCACCCTCTGGAACGAGCTGCCCCCAGAGATCCGGGTGATTCCGGATCTCCCCTCCTTCCGCCGTGCCCTCAAGACCTGGTTATTTCAGCGGGCAGGACTGGCCTAGGGGTATTTTAAATTGGTCTTAATCAAATTTTTAGTAGAAGCGGCCAAATTTGAATATTTATTTTTAATCATTTTTAAATCTTGTATTGTATTGTATCATTGTTTTAAACTGGCTGTAAGCCGCCCTGAGTCCTCCGGGAGAAGGGCGGGGTATAAATTTAATAAAATCACAAAATCACAAATTGTAAGTGTCTGCATTATGGCCAAGTATTGAACTTATCCCTGATATCATACCTGAACCCTCTCAGCCTGAGCAGCTTATAGTTTGATTAGAGCATTTTATTTTATTTTTTTTCTTTCCTTCTTCTTAACTGTATCTTCAGATGAGTAACAAGAGGTCCAACAGCTTCCGCCAAGCCATTTTGCAAGGGAACAGGAGGTTATGCAGCAAGGCCCTCCTGGAGGAGACGGGACTCAGCCTTTCTCAGCGGTTGATTCGGCACGTGGCGTATGAGACGTTACCCCGTGAGATAGACCGGAAATGGTACTACGACAGCTACACCTGCTGTCCTCCACCTTGGTTCATGATTGCCATCACAATTGTAGAGGCAAGTATCTTCAAGCATGGAATGATGTGGGTGGGGTTTGCCTAGTAGTCTGTTGTGTTCTCCTTGGCCTGAAAATGGTTCAGCTTGCAAGTTTGGTGTCAGCTAATCCCAATATAATTTAGACCAGGGTTGTGGACTTCCATGTCTGGCTGGGGAATTCTGGGAGTTGAAGTCCACAGGTCTTAAAGTTGCCAAGCTTGGACACCCCTGATTCAGATCCCAATATTTGCATACATAATTTAAACCCTAATATTTGCACAGATAAAGAGATAGTCTAATATTTTCTCTGAAATATGGTTTGGAAAGACAATCAGCTACCTGTACAGACTGGAAGCAGATAACATATTAAATGGATTCTTCGGTATTTGCCATAGCAACAGTGTTTTCCCAAGTAGTTTATTTATTGTTTTCATTCCTTAAAAAGTTTTAATGAAGGTATTGGGAACCTGTGGCTCTCTAAAACTTGTCAGACTCCAACTTCTGTAAATAGTGGCCAGTTGTCCTGGCCGATAGTTGAAGATAATGGGATATAATAATAATAATAATAATAATAATAATAATAATAATAATAATAATAACAACAACAACAACAACAACAACAACAACAACAATAATAATAATAATAATAATAATAATAATAATAGTTGGAAAGGACCTTGGAGGTCATCACGTCCAACCCCCTGCTCAGGCAGGTAACCCTATACCATTTCGGACAAATGGCTGTCCAGTTTCTTCTTAAAAACTTCCAGTGTTGGAGCATTCATCGCTTCTGGAGTCAGATTGTTCCACTGATTAATTGTTCAGCTGCAAATTCCCCACCTTTACCTAAGAACAGCACCCATAAGGAATGCCTCCTGCCTGGCACAATCACTTTTGTAGAATTACCTCTTCAAGGAAGCCCATTGAGATTGTGGCAGTTTTGAAGCAGCCAATATTCACTTGGAAAGAAGTAGGCATTATAAAAGATGTGAGTTAGTGCCATTGTGTGCCTGGCATCAACATGTCTAGCACACCTTCAGTTTTGATAACTACCATGTTTGTGAAAGGAAGTGTTTCCCCCAAAGGTTTCCCCCCGCAACTTGGGAACTGGGGGAGCTGTCTGACATTCATCAAGAAGAATAGAAAATGCTGCTGGAACAGTGAAGGACAAATGGCCACAGGCACTGCTGTTGGACTGTGTTTGTCAAATCACGTAACCAGGAACAGGAGTTGAGTTCAAAGCACTTTGAGTTTATTACATGTTACCTCTACAAAAGAATCTGATCTACTAATGATCCAGGCAAATCGGCGCTAGTTAAAAGTCAACAGCATGCATGGAGGGCTGGACTTAGGTCTCTTGCAGGAGCACAGCGATTCCAAACTGATGATGTGCTTGAACCCACCCTCAGGTTCATCTCCTAGTCATCTCCTACAGCAGCGGTCGCCAACCTTCACGGCTCTGAGGACTGGAGGTGGTGGCAGCGGTGGGGTGGGAGAGGGGATGGTTTTGTATGCATGCATGCAGGATGCCTATCCAAATGCAGCTTCATGCACTTGTGCACTCGCCCACTTTTTGCACAGTCCGGTTCCCAAGGGGCTGCAGCCCAGCTCCGGGCCATGGAGCGAAGGTCGGAGACCTCTGTCCTACAGTGTTGATGCCTTTGAAAATCAGCTGTTGCTTGAGGGAGGGGTGCTGGCTGGCAGAATTTAACTGTTTTCGTACTGCATAAAGGAGGCTTTCTCTTTTTGCTGTCCTCTCCTAGTTATCCTTGCCTCTTCTCCAAGCAGCTTTGTTCTCCCCTTTGCTTTGTCTTCTCCTCTTCCCCTGCGTCCATCTTCTTTCCTCTTCCTCCACTTCTTCCTCTGTTATTTCTGCTGAAAGCAGGGAAGGGAGGGGAAGGGAAGGGCACTTCTGTGTGCATGCTTGTGTTTCTCTTGTGAAAGCAGTTTGCATGTGTGAGAAAGAACAGATGGTACATAGGATTAACTACAATTAATTAGTGATATAAATAAGATACCTAATTTACAGGAGATCAGTGGTGATTATTTTAAGGTTTATTTTGTCCTGCTTTGGCCTTGCTTTTTTGGTATTGCTTCAGAAAGAGATATGTATGTGTGTGTTCACATATGCATGAGTACATCATTTGCGTGTTACGGAGGGAGGAATTCCCCCAGGTAGGTTTAGAACAGTAGTTCTCAACCTTTTCTTTACCCCGGACCTCCTTTAAATACCTTATGTGGCCACAGACCATGGCCATTGACCCCCAAGATTTAACTCAAGAGACTCTAGAAAGAGTGCAGAGAAGAGCAACAAAGATGATTAGGGGACTGGAGGCTAAAACATATGAGGAACGGCTGCTGAAATTGGGTATGTCTAGTCTAACGAAGAGAAGAACGAGGGGGGACATGATAGCAGTGTTCCAATATCTCAGGGGCTGCCACAAAGAAGAGGGAGTCAAGCTATTCTCCAAGGCGCCTGAAGGCAGGGCAAGAAGCAACAGGTGGAAGCTAATCAAGGAGAGAAGCAACCTAGAACTAAGGAGAAACTTCATGACAGTTAGAACAATTAACCAGTGGAACAACCTGCCTCCAGAAGTGGTGAATGCTCCAACACTGGAAGTTTTTAAGAAGAGACTGGACAGCCATTTGTCCGAAATGGTGTAGGGTTTCCTGCCTGAGCAGGGGGTTGGACTAGGTGACCTCCAAGGTCCCTTCCAACTTTATTATTCTTATTCTTATTCTTATTATTATTTAAATCATAACACTTCTTCAAGTTTTTGCTTTGCCTGTGAGACATTGTGGGCCCCCCAGGGGTCTGCAGACCACAGGTTGAGAACCATTGGTTGAGAAGATAACATAAATCTTAGTTTGAGAAGAGGGGGAGTTAGGAATTGCATAGGATATGTGTGTGTGTGTGTGTGTGTTTGTTTGTTTGTGTGTGTGTTTCTCTGTCTACTCTCTTTGGGAGGTTGTCTTCAATTCAGAGTAAACGTAAGTAACTGAGATTTAACTATGATGTTAATATGAGGTAGGATGGAAACAAACATCAATGAAAATGTAGGGCTCAGTATTAAGGTATCTCTAATGCTACCTGGCAGATCAAATTTCAGGTGGTGCTGAGATCTTCTGTTCTGCAACTGTTCATTTGGGGTTAGGATGTTCTTCAAGGTTTGTTTGTTTTTTTTAAAAAAAAGAAATGTCCACCATGCTGTTTACACGACAGTGGGAGAAGTCATGTTAGCAGATTTTGAGGGATAGGCAGTTCTACCTCTCTATTCTTCTACGGTAGTAATCCCAGAATGGCAGTAGACTTCCACATGACTATATGATATTTATATCAAGGACTTCCAGTCCAAGGAGTTTTAAGTTGGGAAACCTGGACAGTAGGATTCACCTGCTGTTGGATAAATTACTGCCTCTGAAGGACCATGACATTTTGGAGAATCAATTCAATGAATGAATGGATGTCAAGTTCAAGATGCGGTCTATTCCTTGCTACTAGGGAAAATGGAAATTACATAGAGCAGGAGTAAACCTTTGGCCTTTTAATTTCTTGTTCGGTCCTCTGCTGTCTCAAATAAAGCTTTATTTAAAGTTCAGCATAATCCTGAAATATATCTTCAGGCATTTCTCAATGGTTCTAATTACTTCACATTGAGCAATTAAACAAAAGCAATGGGATTGCAGTGGAAAGGATGACAATACGTTTTAAAAGGGGGCGAGGGGGCAGATGTTCTAGCGCTATGCTCGTAGGAGGTTTGTATAGCACACCTTTGAGACTTTCATGTATTTGTGCAATGGGTCAATTTAATATACAGGTAGTCCTCGGCTTACAACAGTTCATTTAGTGGCTGTTCAAAGTTATAATAGCACCGAAAAAAGTGACTTATGACCATTTTTTCACACTTATGACCGTTGCAGCATCCCCACGGTCACGTGATTTACATTTGGATGCCTGGCAACTGGTTCATATTTATGACGGACGCAGTGTCCCATGGGGTCATATGATCCCCTTTTGCAACCTTCTGACAAGCAAAGTCAATGGGGAATCCAGGTTCACTTAAGAACTATGTTACTAATTTAACAACTGCAGTGATTCATTTAATAATTGCAGCCAGAAAGGTCGCAAAATGGGGCAAACTCACTTAGCAATATAAATTCTGGGCTCAATTGTGGTCGTAAATAGAGGACTACCTGTATATGCATATATACTTGTGTAGTTTTTACATTTGCATCACACACTGATTTAGTTGACAATACGTTTTGTTTCACAGCCAGATAACATAGGAAATATGTGTTGATCCAGTGGAAATGAAATGTCATTGAATCCTCCTGGAATGGATTTAGCTGAAGAAAATATGTTTCATGGCTTTCTTTGGATCTGCTGGCCTTTCTTGCGTTTGGCAACAGTACGAGAAGAGCTTAAATCCAGACAGATTGTATTTGTGTGGGGTTACTTCAGAGAAGAGAAATTCTGGTCAATTATGTATTTTGCCACTGCAGGGATTTATGTATGCCTGTGTAATCCTCTTTTTACATTGCCTGGATTCATACATTGTCCTAAACTATTATGTAATCTACTTGGCTTTGGCTTAGCCTGATGTGAAAAGCAGCCATAGCAATATAATCAAGGTTTATGGAAGTCACATATTGTAGTTTCTGGAAGTTCCCAGAGGTTGCTATTTCATATTCAACAACAAGGTAAATCAAAATGTTTCGTTATGAGTGCGTTATTTAACATGGTGCTATTTGTGTATTCATTATTCAGGTATTTTGATCGAGCTTGTGCAGACAAAACTTAAATATCTGGTTCTTGAGGAGGAGTTGACAGATAGGTTGGCCTCAAGAGGAGGGATTAATATTAGAAATCTAATACCTCCTCGACATTTAAAGCAAACAAGTAACCAAGAAAGTCCAAACCAACCTCTAGTTAGATGTACTTTTATTGAACTGAGGTGTTTATATTTCCTAAAACACACCAATTTTTTTTCTTAGTGCTGTTCACGCCTTTGGATTCAAGAGGGCAAAGATACCTCAGAATATTTGTGAGACAATCTGCAGCTCCTTAAATTACATGTGCCTTTTCCCAGGATCACAAGGCAGCTCCACAATTCCACAATGTCACAGTGATCACAATGTAGTCACACAATTCCAGGGAAAAGTGCAGCTCTTTAAGGACTTGTTCAAAGGTGTCGTGTGAGCCCCCCCCCCCTCACACTCTGAAGCACCTTTCCTCCCTCCAAGTAAAAGGTCTATTTTTTTTCTCCCAGATATGCAGATGGAATTTGGTTAATTGTGGGCTTTCTCTGCTCTCCTAGGTTGCCTTCTTTCTTTACAATGGAGTGGTCCTGGATAGGTTTGTGCTGCAAGTCACCCATCCCTTCTATCTGAAGAATTCATTATTATATCATCCTCAACTCCGTGCCCAGGCCTGGAGGTACCTCACCTACATCTTCATGCATGCAGGGTGAGTGCTGCGGAAATGTTGATGTCTCCGTTGTTACACGGTATTAAGGGAAGAGGGTACCTTGCAATTGGCATTCGTGGGCTGCCCTCGGGGTCCAGTATCATGGCATAGCCCTGTGGTGGCAAACCTATGGCATGCGTGCCACAAGTGGCCCGCAGAGCCCTCTCTGTGGGCACGTGCACCGTCGCCCCAGTCCTAGGCCTTCAGCTGGGTTTTATAAAACCTTTTCGCTTTAGCCCTCTGCTGCCGGGTACAAAAAAATGGGTTCAATTAATCAATTTCAACTTCTTGCGGGAAAAAAAAGATCTCGCAAAGTTGGAATTGGTTGATTGAACTTTTTAGTCCCACCCAATCTGACGTTACCACTGCAGCCACGCCCACCCAATGGGCCATGCCCACAAAATTGGCCACACCCACAAAATTGGCCACACCCACCCAATGGGCCACACCTGCCCGGCACCCGACGATACATAAGTGGGTTTTGGGTTGCAGTTTGGGCACTCAGTCTCTAAAAGGTTCGCCATCACTGGCATAGCCCAATGTTCCCCACATCTTTAAAATTAGTTTTCCAACTGGGCAGCTACCTGCCATTTTAATTTCCTGTCATAATTCCTATGATTGCAAACTCTGAGTTTATTCCACACAAATTTCTGGATTTTCATAACTGAACCAGATAGGCTGGGTTCCTGTAACATGGTAGGATAAAAAGCAATTGGCTAGTTGTAGTTCAATGTACTGGTAGTCCTTCACTTACAACCATTTGTTTAGTGACTGTTCAAAGATACAACTGAAAAAAAGTGAGTTATGATCGTTTTTCACACTTATGACCATTGCAGCATTTGGACGCTTGGCAAGTGGCTCATATTTATGATGGTTGCCGTATCCCAGGATCATGTGATCACCTTTTACAACCTTCTGACAAGCAAAGTCAGTGCGGAAGCCAGATTCTTTTAACAACTGGGTTATTTAACTTAACACCTGCAGTAATTCACTTGACACATGTGACAAGAAAGGTCATAAAATGAGTCAGGGGTTACCTGTATTTCTTTGCTCTTTCTGTTCCTCATCTGACATCATCTATTTAAGCTGCATCCCGCTGCCTTTTCTGAAATCTCCCTGTGCATGAGGCTTTCCCCCCCTCTTTGTGTACAACTCTATATTTCTTGGTAAGATCTTAAGAACAAATGAGCTTTCCGGAGAAATTAGTGGAATGGTTTGATAATTTCTACATTCTCTTGCATCTCTCTTCTTTGGAGTCGTTGTCTGTACCAAACTTTTTCACACCATCTGTTCCATATTTGTGTAAACAAAGCTATTAGTCCTTTAAACACCTCTTCTCTGCGGTTCAGTGGGCGTTTCATCTGTGTTTGGTGCTTTTCTGTTTCATAATGGTGTATTGTCTGTCTGGCTCAGTTTTTTTTCATGGGGTCCGTTTCTGAATAAAGTTATACTGTCGCCTCCAGATCTACTTGTGGAAGGCTTCTCAGCTGGTGGATCTCATCATCTATCACTCACGTTCGTCAAAATTGTTAGAATCATGTCCATACAATTTTCTTGGCAGTAATACAAATGTAGTTTGCTGTTGCCTTTTTCAATTTGATCCTGGAGTGTCTTCTTCTAGGTACAGATAGTTCTCAACTCACAACTCATTTATTGACCATTTGAAGTTACAACAGCACCGAAAAAAGGGAGTCATGATCATTTTTCATACTTACGACCGTTGCAGCATCTCCATAGTCATATAATCAAAATTCAGACACTTGGCAACTTATTCATATTTAGGACGGTTTCCGTGTCCCGGGGTCACATGATCCCCTTTTGTGACAAGCAAAGTCAATGGGGAAGCCGGATTCTCTTAACAACTGTGTTACTAACTTAACTGGAGCGATTCACTTAACAACTGTGGCAAGAAAGGTCATAAAATGGGGCAAAACTCACTTAACAACTGTCTCGCTCAGCAACAGAAACTTTGGGCTGAATTGTGGTTGTGAGTCGAAGACTGCCTGCAGTTTGCTTCCATCTCCTGAGGCCGCCCTTCCCAAACCTTGTTCTTCGTTATCCAAAACGACTAATCAGAAAGTCCTTTTTACCCAATGTAGATAAAGAACTCTAAGCCAATTTAAATATCTTTGTTTATGTTCGGGTAATGTATTTGCATCTCATTGTCCTAAGAAAAACTACTTCTACTCAATTTTGGATAATTTACCCAGGTTTGGAAAGTGCAACTTTAGGGGACAGTGCTTAGCTGTCTCTCTCCCATTTCAAAATAATAATAATAATAATAATAATAATAATAATAATAATAATAATAATAATAATAATAATAATAATAATAATAATAATAATAATAATAAAGACTGTGGCAAAGGCAAGCAAGGGTAGTACCAATAGTAATGGGCGCCTTGGGTGCAATCCCAAAACAACTGGAGCACCACTTGAACACCATCATCGGCACTGACAAATTCACCATTAGTCAATTGCAAAAGGCGGCCTTACTAGGAACTACTTCCATCCTGCGACGATATCTGTAATATACCATCAAACATCCACATCTGCCTATCCCAAGTCCTTGGTAAGGACTCGATAGGTAGACAAAAATGCCAAATCCAGTCTGAACATCTGGCTGACTGTGCGATGATCAATAATAATAATAATAATAATAATAATAATAATAATAATAATAATAAAAAAGTTGGAAGGGACCTTGGAGGTCATCTAGTCCAACCCCCTGCTCAGGCGGGTAACCCTATACCATTTCAGACAAATGGCCGTCCAGTCTCTTCTTAAAAACTTCCAATGTTGGAGTATCATCAATGGGGATTCCTAGGGAGCAGCTCGTGGATTCACTGAGTTATGTCTGGCAAGAAAACAAAACATTAACACCGTGTCAGCTCTTCCAATAACCTAAGATCCCCGACTATAATGCAACCCTGAAAATATTGGCAGGTTTTACTTGATAGCCACTTCAGAATCAAGTAGGGAGCTTCTCTAACTGGGACCGTCAAATCTAACCGGAACATTTCGATCCTTCTGCCAATAAATAACCTGTCCTATCAGATTTGCAGAAAACATTTAACTTCTACACGCTTTCTGATGAGAGCGTTTTTGTTGCCGTTTAATCTGAGAGGGTATTTCCCACTCTTCTTTCTGATTGCAATAGGAAAAATTACAGGGTAGTCCTCGACTTAGGGCAATTGGACCCAACATTTCTGTTGCTAAGCGAAACACTTAAGTGAATTTTGCCCCATTTTATGATCTTACTTGCCAGAGTTAAGTGAATCACTGCAATAATAATAATAATAATAATAATAATAATAATAATAATAATAATAATAATAATTAATAATAATAATAATAAAAAAGTTGGAAGAGATCTTGGAGGTCATCTAGCCCAACCCCCTGCTCAGGCAGGAAACCCTATACCAGGGGTAGGCATGGCTCAGCATGGAAACCTCTCCCTTTCCCCTCAGCATAGCTGGCTCAGGAATTCTGGGAGTTGAAGTTCACGAGTCATAAAAGAGCCAAGGTTACCTACCCCTGCCCTATACCATTTTGGACAAATGGCTGTCCAGTCTCTTCTTAAAAACTTCCATTGTTGGAGCATTCACAGCTTCTGGAGGCAGGTTGTTCCACTGGCTAATTGTTCTAACTGTCAGGAAGTTTCTCCTTAATTCTAGGTTGCTTCTCTCCTTGATTAGTTTCCATCCGTTGCTTCTTGTCCTGCCTTCAGGCGCTTTGGAGAATGGCTTGACTCCCTCTTCTGAGATATTGGAGTTGAGTTGAGTTAGTCACAGACCTGTTAAGTGAACCTGTCTTCCCCATTGACTTTGTTTGTCAGAAGGTCGCAAAAGGGGATCACATGACTCCAGGACACTGCTATTGTCATAAATATGAACTAGTTGCCAAGTGTCCGAATTTTGATCACACGATCATAGGGATGCTACAATGGTTGTAAGTGTGAAAAATGATCATGTCCCTTTTTTCAGTGCCGTTGTAACTTCAGTCGTTAAATGAACTTTTGTAAGTCGAGAACTACACACACTAAAAGTTTTCATGCACTTATTATACTGTCTTCTTTTTACCCTATCATTTTTTCTGAGCCTCCTGCCCTCCAATTTCTAGCTGGGCACTACAGGAACTTAACCTCAACACAGAGTATCTGAAGAAAATCAGGCACCCTAAATTCTCTGGGATTTCTTTGAATGAAAGGCATTGACTTACTTTAAATACAGCCAGTCACCCTGGAACCTTGAAAGTCATATTGCAGAACATTTTTCTTACTCCCAAAAAGCTAACCCTTTGCCTTGACAAGTATCTTGTTGCCACTAGGCTGCTGTGTGGCTTGAAAAATGTGCTGAATCTTTTAATTATCCTGAGGTTTTTTTTCCCACACCCTTGGCTGGTTTCCAGGGAAATCTCTAGGAAGATCAAGTATCCAAAGTCTGCTGTCTGTACATATTAGAGACTTAACTGGCATTGGATGATTACATTTTTGTGGCAGATTCTAAACCGTTTGGAAGTGCAAGCTTCCCAACCACACACACACATTCTCCACTTGAGAAGCAATGGGTGTTAGGTATAGTTGTTTTTAAGAAAACTCTGTAATATTTAAAATGCTCAGCAATCACTTCCAGCCAAGTTGCCTGCATTAGATTATTTCTCCGGCTGGAAAACAAAATAAATCTCAAAGAAAGTCACATGGTGTTTGTGCTTTTTAATGGTGAGGCCCTTATTCTGCTCCCCTCTTCCACTAAAGGGCAAACTGATACAAAGGTGGTGAAATCTATTGTTACCCTACTTCCTGCTGTGACTTTAAAATGTTAATGCGGATCTCTTAATTTATTATGCTTTGGGGGGGGGAAGCATGACAGCTAGAAGGTACCCTGGGAGAAGGGAGTCATGGGGGGGGGACTGATTGTGCTTACTCAGAGTATCCCCAAATGCAGGGCTTTTTTTGTCATAGAACGCCCAGAACGGAGTTCCGACACCTTTTTTGGATGGAACCTTGTAGGGTAGGCAAGGCGGGTTGTATGACGTGTGTGAGTTCCCGCACCTTTTTTTTTTTTTCAAAAAAAGCACTGCCCAAATGTATGTGCTACTCATGTTCTAGTCCTGATGGGGAAAAGCTTTCTAAAACCCCACAGTTGTAAATTTTAGCTTTCCACTTTAAGGCAGAGTGTTTGTTAATGATCTGCGAGGCCCCACCCATTTGTATTCCTGCCATAACTAATGAATTGCATTGATTCAAGGGCCCCTGTTTGCTCAATCCCAGAGAAGGTGAAGCCTGGATAAATCAATTATATTGTCATCCAAAGAATGACACATTCAGAGCATGTGAAAGCTAATTACGTTTTATGGGCCCTGATTGACTATGGGACTCTGATGTGCTTGGCTGATGCAGGAGCAGTTTAGCTGAATGGAAGCCTCATTTTTAAAGGACCAGCCAAACAGCGGGCCAGCAGAAACATCAGCAGAAATAAATCATGGCACCTCATGAGACGTTATTTAAAAGACAGTTAAATTCATTGTTAACAATAAAACCACAAAGCTTTATTAGTATTAGTATTAGCCTGCATTGAGCTGTGATTCTTTCAGTGTAAGGAAAAGGTAGATTTTTAAAATCTTGTTTTAAACTTTCGCCCTCATTTTCACTCTAAACAACATAGTTTGGTTAAATGTTATGATTGGTGATTATTGTATAAGGATGCACACACAGAGAGTTTGCAATCCACCCTACTTCAACTTAAACAATTATGATAATCAGCAGGATTTTTTTAAAAAACAAAACAAAAACAAAAACCCACTCTACAAGAAAATCTGGGCCTAACATCAAATGGTAAATCTTGAACAACTGAACTGTTCAGTATTCTTGGATACATACCATCTGGCTCAGGAGATTGGCAATTTTTTAATTAGTTCATTTATCGCCTTTATTTGTGTTATTCGAGCAGAATGGTTGATGCATCCAACTTGGGGGGGGAGAGGGATAAAGTCTGGATGTAAAGAATTAAATCTTTTTGCAGTATCCATCTCTTCTTTTAATGTTCTTGTTAAATAATGAAGTAGCTGTTTCATTTTGCACTAGTTGCTTAAAATCCTGTGCACTTTACTGACCACATTATACACTACACAGTGTTCAAATCTTGTGGGGTTTTTACTGTCCATCCTTTTTAGAAAAAAAATTACAGCTGTCCATGTGCAAAATCTCTTAACAGAGAGTCTTAAGTGTTGACATTGATTGTTCAAGATGCTTAAAAAAACAAAAGCAAATCCTTCTTTGACATATACATTTCTCCGATACAGAGTTTTAAAATACAGTCTCCAATGTGAGCTTTATTTAAAATGTAACTACTTTTTTTTGTATACAACTTTTAGTAACATAGTTAGTATATCTGACTTTTCACACAGGGAGATCATTTTTTTTATGAAAAAATGATACATGATGATTGAGTGATTTTAGCATTCAATCCACCTCAGTACAGAAAAAAGATCTTTTCTGAATGCTTTTGTAACTTTATTGCTCTTTTTTTTAGTCATATTTATAGCCATGACTTTTAATTTTTGTTCTTCAGGCCAGAGATTTGTTGCTTATTTCTGCATCCTTCTTTAAAAACGTCTGGCAATCACTATGTGGTGCTCCACAGTCTCCGATATGCAGCTTCTAAATTTCCTCTGGAGTGGCTGGGTTCAAAATATTTTGCCAGTTTTTTAGGAAAGGAATTAAGAGGCAAAATGGTTCCCGTTTCATCTTTGAAAAATGTCCAGTGCTTCCCAAAGGATTTTTTTCCCATCTGAAGGCATTAAACCTTCTTAAACTGCCCAACCTTCTCAAACAGGATTGTCCATACAGAAATAGTGTCAATGCCATTGGAGATACCCACTGGAGCACTACAGGCCGGGTCATTCATTCATTCATTCATTTGTTTGCTTGTTTGTTATTTTCACATCTTTGGTGTGAAAGATTTCTGCCTTCTGTGAGATAGATGGGAGTCGTACCTTGCATTGCCAGAAATGATCCACTTCATTCCAGTTCAGATTTGTACCAGTCCATGGTCCTGATTACCATGCCTGACCGATTAATTAGCTAGTTAATTGTGATTAGCATATAATAATTATGGTTAATTGAGTTTGGCAGTTAAATGTTTAGTCTTAATCAGTAGTGTTCAAAGACAGAATTCTTGAACCATAATTATTACATTATTTTTAAATGAAGGAGCATGTCTGTTTGAATGCTCTTTGGAAGACCCTTAGGCGGTCTACTGCGTTTAAATTGTCTTTTAAACTAAATAATATTTTATCAAGAGGGTTATACACAGGCTTTCATAATGTTTTTACAAAACATCACTCTGGGAATAATAATAATAATAGTAGTGGTAGTAGTAGTAGTAGTAGTAGTAGTAGTAGTAGTAGTAGTAATAATAATAATAATAATCTAAAGTTAATAAAAACAAACAGTGCTGTTTCCTCAGGATAGAACACCTTGGACTCAATGTTGTCCTTCAGCTTCTCGTTGGAGTTCCTCTTGAAATGGTTCATGGTGCGACCAGGATCGGATTTGTCTACTTTGCTGGAGTGGTAGCAGGTAAGTGCTGTAACCGATATCGCCACCCTTACTCTGGAGCCCGCGAGAAAGTTTAAAAGCTGCCCATCGTTTGTCACCATATCTTTCGGAAAGGCATTTGTCCTCCCTCCTAGTCAACACCAGCATCTCTCAAGCAAGGCTGTATTTCTGGAATTCTTGAACATTTGCCATCGTGAGATTGTCCTTATCAATGAAGCTGGGAGTGTTATTTAAAAAACAATATTTCGTTCATTGACCAGGTCTAGAAATTATCCAATCTTTTCCTCCTGACTCTATGAAAGCTGTGGTGGGATTCAGCCAGTTCCCACCACTTTAGGCCCAGAACGGACTTCCGGAAGTGGCATCCAGACAGAGAACCGGTTGCTCACATATTTGAATCCCACCACTGGCTTGGGCTATCGTGTTTCGGTCCTTATAGTCTTCTTCTAGGAGCTTACCTGCTAGAACCAGAATGTCCTTTCCAGTCTTAATGCTACTTGACCAGAAAAGTGCTTTTCACTATTCTTTAAATCAGACACAGGAAATATCTAATTGGTGGGGCCTTCTGGGTGGCCTGCTGAAGCCCAGGGGGAAGTCTGCCACACAGGTATGCTTTTCAAGGTTTCCTTTCCCAGACAGACCTACGGTAGCCCAGATCGCTCCAGACTCTCATCCAGCCCGGTGGGATCCGTGAGGTGTCCCTGAAGGAAAACCTCACCCCAGCTAGATAGATGTTCCTTACCCTCGCTTAGGGTTCATTTCCAAAGGCATCCGTGATTGGGGAATTATGCATAGGAGGTCTAGGAAAGCCAATTTATCAGAGCTGAGTTCTTTTCAGCGGAAGCTCAAGAAAAGCACAGCGGGGCCCAACGTTTCTGCTGCCGAGTGAGGCATTTGTTAAGTGAGTTTTGCCCTGTTTTATGACCTTCCTTGCCACAGTTGTTAAGTGAATCACTGTAGTTGTTAAGTTAGTGACACGGTTGATAAGTGAATCTGGCTCCCCCATTGCCTTTGCTTGTCAGAAGGGCATGACAGGTGGTCACATGACGCCCAGGGACGCCGCAACCGTCATAAATACAAGCCAGTTGCCAAGAGTCCAAATTTTGATCATCTGACCATGGGCATGCTGAAATGGTCGTAAGTGTGAGAAAAATGGTCCTAAGTCGCTTTTTTCAGTGCCGTCGTAACTTTGAACAGTCACTCAATGAACGGTTGTTAGTCGAGGACGACCTGTGCTCCCTTGTCCTTCTCCAAGCTTTTTGTTATGTTCCAAACATGGTATTATGGCTCCCTTGTTTCTCTGAGAGGCCAATAGAATTGTCTACCTCCTGCAGAAGAATCTGTTGTTCTTTACCTTGCACTGCTAGGGCTGCCAACACAACTCTCATTTCAGGAAGGGTAGGCCTTGATCTACGACCATAATCCAGTTCACAGTTACAGCCATAAGTTGTGGCAGTCATTAAGCAGTTCATCATGTAACCCCTCCCAGTTTTACATCCTTTTTTGTGTGGTTTAGTGAACCCATTTCTTGCCATGGGACATTTTTTGCTGGAAACCAGAAGCAAATGCTGGCTTCAGGCAAGACATCTTAAATCCAATGAGCATAGGATGCTGCAAACAGCCATAAATGCGGACCGGTTGCTGAGTACCCAAAATGTGGTCACGGGGAGGGGAGGTGGGGGAGCAACCTTTGGAACTTCTAATCCTGGCCATAAGTACATTTGTTTTGGATCCTTTGTAACTGAGGACTACCTGGGGGGGGGGGTTGGTTGGCTTTTCAGGTAGAACAAAAAGGCAACTTGCCGATAACTCGGGAATCTCTCATTCACTCTCAGCTCAAACCACCTCACAGGGTTATTGTTGTTGTTGTGGGAAAAAGAGGAGGAGCAAGGAGCGTTATGTATGTTCACCACCTTATTTATAAAAAGAATAATGGCAGGAGGATGCAAATAAATAAATCCCCTCCCTGCTGGCTTTCAGGAAGTCACTCCCCCAACTTTCTGGTGTTTTAAAGGGCCTTCAGCAAGCAGGATTGAGGTCCCCTTTAGTACCTCTTCTTTGTTCCCATTTGGGTTTGTTGTGTCTGCCATTTTTGCTCTTTTTTGCTTTGTATTCTTTTCTTGTTTTAAATGTTTTTAACTTTTTGAATACTGCCCAGCGTCACTGGGAGTCAGGCAGCATATACATTTAATAAATTATTAGATACAACATAAAATAATAATAATAACAATAACAACAAAACAACAATAACAACAACAATGTTATTGTGATGATGATGATGATGATGATGATGATGATGATGATGATGATGATGATGATGATGATGATTAGGAGACTGGAGGCTAAAACATATAAGAAACGGTTGCTGGAATTGGGTATGTCTAGTTTAACGAAGAAAAGGACGAGGGGGGACATGATAGCAGTGTTCCAATATCTCAGGGGCTGCCACGAAGAAGAGGGAGTCAAGCTTTTTTCCAAAGCGCCTGAAGGCAGGACAAGAAGCAACGGGTGGAAACTAAGCAAGGAGAGAAGCAACCTAGAACTAAGGAGAAACTTCCTGACTGTTAGAACAATTAACCAGTGGAACAACCTGCCTCCAGAAGTGGTGAATGCTCCAACACTGGAAGTTTTTAAGAAGAAACTGGACAGCCATTTGTCTGAAATGATATAGGGTTTCCTGCCTGAGCAGGGGGTTGGACTCGATGACCTCCAAGGTCCCTTCCAACTTTATTATTATTATTATTATTATGGATCATCGCACAGTCAGCCAGATGTTCAGACTGTATTTGGCATTTTGTCTACCTATCGAGTCCTTACCCAGGACCTGGGATAGGCAGATGTGGATGTTTGATGGTATTACAGATATCGTCGCAGGATGGAAGCAGTTCCTAGTAAGGCCGCCTTTTGCAATTGACTAATAGCGAATTTGTCAATGCCAATGGTGTTCAAGTGGTGCTCCAGTTGTTTTGGGATTGTACCCAAGGCGCCTATTACTATTGGTACTACCCTTGCTTGCTTTTGCCACAGTCTTTCTATTTCTATTTGTAGGTCTCTGTATTTTGTTATCTTCTCCAGTTCTTTCTCGTCTGTTCTGCTATCTCCAGGCACTGCCACGTCCACTATCCAGACTTTTTTGTCTTTCTTATTGACAATTGTTAAGTCTGGGGTGTTATGTTGCAGGTGCTTGTCTGTTACTACTACTACTACTACTACTACTACTATTATTATTATTATTATTATTATTATTATTATTATTATTATTATTATTATTATTATTATTATTATTATTATTATTTCCTAAGAGTCTGTCAATAACAACCCCTTCTCTTTGCTGTTGTTTTTATTATTCTCTCCTAATTTAATTCACATTTGAGATTTGGACTGTATGTTATTTTAGTTCTGTGGCTGCTTTTTTTGTTTTTGTTTTAACTGTGGCCCTGTAATCTCTGAGAGGTATAAGATGGCTGAGAATAAGGAAACAAACAAACAAACAGGTCAGCCAGCCTTTCACATCTGAGTTAACCTGCTTGAAAAGAGGCTGGAGTTTAGAGGGGGAAACTGGCGAAGAAGCCAAAAGATGGGTTTTTTTAGGCAGAAGAGTAGTCTTTGTGGGAGATACAAAAGTTTTTGAAGTAACACGGTGCCTTGCTAGGACAGCCATTGGGCCTGGTGGGGTAGTTTTAGTTGTCTGTGTGGAACCGAGTCAGTTTAGGAAAATCATGGAGGTGAGAGGGGGGTCACGGAGCTTGCGGAAGTTGTGAGGTGAGGGTGAGGGATTGATCAGGCTGAACGGGTGCTGCGAGCAGTGACTCCATTTGGATGGCTGATCCTAAGAAGATAAGAAGGATGGATAGTGCTGGAGAAGGATGGCGGAGAAGAGGATTGGGTAGCTGAGAAAGACCACTGACGTGACGGGAGCCAGTGGCTGATGTTGGGTGATTCATGATTGTAGAGTTGCTGGAGCAATAGGCTGGGAAGAGATGTGGAAATTGTCAGCTGGAAATTGCCAAGTCCAGGGATAGGCAACCTTGGCTCTTTTATGACTCGTGGACTTCAACTCCCTGCTGGCTCTTTTATGACTCGTGGACTTCAACTCCCTGCTGGCTCAGGAATTCTGGGAGTTGAAGTCCACGAGTCATAAAAGAGCCAAGGTTGCCTACCCCTGGCCAAGTCTATGGAGAAGGGAGCTTCCAGGACCTCTGGCTCCTGCTGGGTTCACAGGTAAAAGTCATGGCTGGAGGGCATTTACCAGGTTCACTCTGTGGCCCTACTTAGCACAGGAAGCCCTGGCAATGGTGACTCAGGCCACTATTACTAACCCTGATTACTTCCAGGAGCTTCACACTGAGCTGCCTTTGAAGGATACTCAGATATTGCAATTGGCAGAAAAGGCAGCAGAACTCCTGTGGTGGTTAGTGATAGCACCAGCCTGGAAACAGCTACATCGATTTCCAGTAGGTTTTTGACTATAGCTTGAAGAGCTGGTTTTAACTCCCGTGTGATTTTTAAAAAGTTCTCTAGAGGCCAATTCTCTTTAGCTAAGCAATATCCAGCTTAATTATAATGGAGCCACTACAGGTAGTCCTCAACTTACAACAGTTCATTTAGTGACCGTTCAAAGTTACAGTGGCACTGGAAAAAAAGTGACTTACGACCGTTTTTCACACTTACAGCCATTGCAGCATCCTCGTGGTCACGCGATAAAAATTCAGACGCCTGGCAACTGACTCATGATTATGACGGTTGCAGTGGCCCAGGGTCATGGGACCTTCTCACAAGCAAAGTCAATGGGGAAACCACATTCACTTAAGAACTGAGTTACTAGCTTAACAGTGATACACTTAACAACTAGGGCAAGAAAAGTCATAAAATGGGGCAAAACTCACTTAACAAATGTTTCACTTAGCAACAGAAATTTTGGGCTCAGTTATGGTCGTACATTGAGGACTACCTGTGCTATTGTCTCCAGAGACTGTTCTTTGGACCAGAAACATAGAAAGATGGAAGTGGAGAGTCAGAAGAAATAAATTTTCTTGTACCTTCCTCTATCCTTTATCTTTATCTTGCATAAAGCTTATTTTTCTGGGTATGAATTTGTTGTTGTGCCAGCTTTGGCTTTGTATGCCATCTCTCCATTATTTTATTTCCAAACATGCATTAGACAGACAGCTCTGTAAACCATGTTCCATCCAGGGGCCCTGTTACCACATGTTACATCACAATCAGTGTACTTTTCATTTGATTTCTAAAGCTGTTAACAAGCACATGGCTATCCTGGCAATAAATACAGCAAAGACAGTCTTGTTGCAATTAACTTCAGCGAGCAATAATTCTCCCCTGAAGTGATTTTTGCAGTGTAATTTACCAGTTGGTTGCCCATAAACTGTTGGCTGGTTACAACCTGGAAATTTTTATTCACTTAATCAGAACAACCAAGCAGAAAAAGAGAACTGGAGTCTCGCGGTTTATTATCGTGGCGTTTTCTTTGGCTTCTGAGCTGGGCACCACTCGTTTCCCTCACAATACTGCACATGATTGAAATGTCTTTTGTGCAAGCAAGTTTAAAAAAAACATAGTAAACACACCAACGGTCACATTAGCTCATGATTTGTTTTAATGCTGCTTTATTGAATAGGCTACAATGGCCTGATGCACCCAGAATGCTAAGCCAATTATGTTTTATAAACCCCAATAGTTGGGTTCCTGTCTAGGATGTTGCAAAAGGGATGTGCTGTATGCAGGGCCCAAATTACTGTTGTGCGCCTAATAGAGTCGTCTCTTATCATAGTTAGTAAAAATCAATGGTGCAGTTTCCCACCAGTCTGAGGCAAGACACATCTATACACTAATGAACATTTAAGAAAAGAACAGAAGCTAGAACTTGCCCCCTTCCAATTTAGCTTCCATGATATTATGTGTCATCACAGCTCCACCTAGCTTGCGTTATCGCCCATCCCACTGTGACCCTCATTCTCCTGAAATATTTTAAGTTTAGCTATGAAATGTTTATGACTGGTGAGGGCCAAGCATCAACTCATGACCTGTTTGTGGCCTCTTACTGCTTATTGGGGCCTCTGAACAGCTGCTGGGAGAGAGAATATATTGGACCAAGCAGGGCATCGTTTTGATTCGTCAGGTTTGAAGAATCGTCCGGCGGTGAACACGTGAACTCAAAGGTTTAATTTCAGCTGCTTGACACCATTTCTCTCTTTTGCAAAAGGAGCCGATGCAAGTGGTTTACAAGACATAGAAACCATAAACCATATTCAAAGCAATTGTACAAGGTCAGGCTCAAAGCAACAATACAGATAGTCCTCAACTTACAACAGTTCATTTAGTGACTGAAGTTAAAACGGGGCTGAAAAAAGTGACTTATGACCGTTTTTCACGCTTAGGACCTCTGCAGCATCGCCATGGTCACATGATCAAAATTCAGACGCTTGGGTAACTGACTCATATTTATGACGCTTGCAGCGTCCCGGGGTCATGTGACCATCTTTAGCGATCTTCTGACAAGCCAAGTCAATGGGAAAGCCAGCTTCACTTAACAACCGTGTTACTAATTTAACAACTGCAGCGATTCACTTCACAACTGTGGCAATAAATTCATAAAATGGGGCAAAATTCACTTAACAACTGTCTCGCTTAGCAACAGAAATGTTGGGCTCCATTGTGGTCATAAGACGAGGACTACCTGTACTGTAGAGATCAGAAAGGCAATCAAGGAATAAGAGTTAAGCCATGGCCAAGTCAAAGGCCTATTGGGAAAAGAAAATGCCTTTGCTTGCTAGTGGAATGCACTCTTCCAAAACAGGATGGTAACCTAAATTCTTGAAGCACTATGAAAGAATCTGTAATTATATTTAATACATCTGGCAAGCAGACTTTCATTTAAACTCAACAACAACTCCCCTCAGGATGTAAGACTGAAACACCCTAATTTTGGACCCATTAAATGCTTTATGCATTTTTAATGTTTTACTTTAAAAAGTACATTTTACAGATGCCTAGGACATATCCCACAAAATCCTATAATGGATTCTGCTAGCTGAAAAGGAAGCTGACCTAATCTTTTTCAAAAGCGATCACTAAAACAATTGTTGCTTCTATGGTGAAAAATATGTACGATCCCCCCTACTTATTGAGGACGCGTTGATCTTCCTCTGTAAAAAACTGAATAACGGACAACTTATCGGACAGTAAAATGATATTAGCCCTTTTGTCACAGCAGATGGCAGTAGTTACCCAATCTTGGCTGATCTCAAAAAAGTTAAAAGAGGATTGGATCTGGTCAGATATAACAGAGGCCCCCAACCTTTTGGGCACCAGGGACCAGTTCCGTGGAGAGAGGTTTTTCCATGGACCGGAGGGGGTGTGGTTTCATGTACTGCCTGCATCCTGCGGATGGGGCTTTGCTTGTTTGTGCGGACTGGTTTCTGGCATGCCGTGGCCCAGTGCCGGTCCATGGACCGGGGGTTGGGGACCCCTGGGATATAAGACCAAGAAGAAGTCCTAAGGTTTTTAACCTGATTTGGGTTATTGAAAAAAAAAATCTTGGTAGAAGATAACTGCAAGCTGTTTCTGTTTCACTGTGAAATGTCCATAATGATTGGGGGTTGGACTCTCGGAATCCTTAAATGCCTTTTTCTAGAAAGTATAGACAGTCCTCAACTTACAACAATTCATTTAATAACTGTTCAAAGTTGCAACAACACTAAAAAAATAATTTACAGCTTTTCACACTTATGACCACTGCAGCATCCCCATGGTCACGTGTTCAAAATTCAAAGCTTGGCAACTGTCTCATATTTAGGACGGCTGCAGTGTCCTGGGGTCATGTGATCCCCTTTTGCGACCTTCTGACAAGCAAAGTCAATGGGGAAGCCAGATTCACTTAACAATCAGGTTACTAACTGAACTGTAGTGATTCACCTAACAGTTGTGGCAAGTAAGATGAAAATGGAGCAAAACTAACTTAACTAACTTGTCTCGCTTAGCAACAGAAATTTTGTTCAATTTGGCTCAGTTGTGACCGTAAGTTGAAAACTACCTGTATTCATAGAAAAAGGTAGGGGGTGTTTTATTGGGCAGTCATTTGTACTTACCTTTTTTTTTTTTTTTTGTATTTCTCCAAGGTTCCTTGGCAGTGTCCATCGCTGATATGACTGCACCGGTTGTGGGTTCATCTGGAGGGGTGTATGCTCTTATTTCTGCTCATTTGGCCAATATAGTGATGGTAAGCCCTGGATTAAGTAGAACACAGATTGCCTTTGAGACCAGAATGTGCTGTTTATCGTGTATGGATTCATTTATGTGACAGCTGAACTGTTGTTTTCAGTCCAGCCTGAACAAATAACAGCAACATTTGGTTGTTGTGATTATTGGGTTGGTTTTTTTTTTTAGGCTTATGTTGGTTATCAGCAAGTAAACAAGTATCTCACATATTTCCATTTAAAATAACAAGCAGATCTGATTTTATGTGTTTTATGAGCACGGGGGGGAGGGGGCGTTAGTTCTCATACAGTCAATAAAAAAATAAGACAGTAATAACTCTGACCGTTGCCAGAGCAAGGGACAGATGGAAACCATTTCCTCTCTGCAAAAGAAGGAACCGGGTATTGAATATTGTTTTCATATATACTGCTCACAAAAATAAAGGGAACACAAACCTAAGACATCCTACACTGCTGTGTTCCCTTTATTATTTTGAGCAGTATATAAGACTTGCAAATGCATAGCATATAGCCCGTTCATAGTAAACCAAGAGAAGTCAACCAATTTGGGTCTATTGTATGGATGAAAAGCTATGAATTATGGGGTTTTTTTGTTTAAAACCTTCGGAGGAGGCCAGGTTAGGAAAGGCTAGTCCAGGGGTAGGCAACCTGGGCTCTTTTATGACTCATGGACTTCAACTCCCAGAATTCCTGAGGCAGCCATGCTGAGGGGAAAGGGAGAGGTTTCAAAGCTGAGCCATGCTGGCCCAGGAATTCTGGGAGTTGAAGTCCATGAGTCATAAAAGAGCCAAGGTTGCCTACCCCTGGGCTAGTCTATGGCTAGTCTACAATATAGCCAAAGGAAGACTACTATTAGATTTCCAGGCACCAATAAATGTGCTTTGTACTTTGTATTTCATTGCAAACAAAATTGTCATTGTCTCCAGCTCTGCCAATTAAAAATATAAATAATTCTAGCTTAATGTCAGTGAGGGGGATTCTTGGATGATGAAAAAAGATGCACTTGGCACCGTAAGCACATTCATAACAGTAGTTGTTACATTTTGCTTTGCTTTTCCTCCCGAGAGGCTGAGTCCATCAAACCTTTTTACTTTCCCTGGAACTCCTTGGATAACTGCAAATAATAAAAATGTCTATGCCTCTAGAATGAAATATTCCTGGAAACAAATAAAAGTGAGAAGAAAAATAAAGCAGTTCACCCTGTGGGAAATAACAGACAAACAAACCAACTAAAAATGCAGGATTTAGCAGTAGCTTCCACCACTTTCCAAGTGCATTATTATCTCTGTGGAGAAATGAACCAAAGAACGCTTCTAAATATGACCTTTATCCCCAAAACTGGATTGATTTGTAGCATCTTTACTAGTGTTTATCTAAAATGTTTGTACTGCATCTCCCCAGATTTCTATCTGCCATAAAAAGGCACAAGGCCGAGTGAGGGTCATAGATCATAGACAAAGGGCAATTATGTACAACTCAAAAATGCTTACAAATGGTTTGGTTCCCGTATTGAAATATTAGTTTGAAGGCCCTTTTGTACCTCTCTGGTTGCCTTTGTGAATTGTCAGATTCATTTCCAGGGCACAACCGTACTGCATCAGTAACCACAGTTGCTGATGGTATAGGGTAGTCCTCAACTTACGGCCGCAATTGAGCCCAAAATTTCTGTTACTAAATGAGACATTTGTGAAGTGAATTTTGCCCCGTTACACAGCCTTCCTTGCCACAGTTGCTAAATGAATGACTGCGGTTGTTAAGTGAGTGACACAGTTGTTAACTGAATCTGGCTTCCCCCATTGACTTGGCTTGTCAGAAGGTTACAAAAGGGGATCAGATGACCCCGGGACACTGCAACCGTCGTAAATACAAGTCAGTTGTCAAGCATCTGAATTTTGATCACATGACCACGGGGATGCTGCAATGGTCGTAAGTGTGAAAAACTATCATAATGTTCTGTCCCAGCCTACATGAGTCCTTGTTAAGCTCACAAGGAGAAACTCCTCTTCCAACAGGCAGGCTGGAACCGCAGAAAAAAAACCAATCCCCTTTTATTATTCACAGTCCTGAGTCAATGTCCAAGGCAAACAAACACAGTTCACAGAAACTCGATCCTCAACACGAACGGTTGCCTTCGGCAACCAGCACCTCCCACACCTTCCCTTTTATTATGCAGTCAAGGCGTGGCTTCCTAATGCCTTCTCCTTTGCCTTTGGAGCCGCCCCATTGCATTCCTCTGTCCTACTCTCTTTTCTTGCTGGCGTTTATGTGCATCCGGGATATCTCCCAGCTGTGGTTCATCACTGTCCAACTCAGCCTCCCAGCACAGCTGTGTCTCAGCCTGAGCGTGAGCCAGGCTCCTTGTCAGACTGTAAGTCTTGGAGCTCCTCAGAGCCTTCCTCTGACTCTGATGTCACTCCAGTCCCCTCCTCCTCTGATTCCCCAGACTCAGCTGCCGGGTCCACTGGCTGGTGAGGAACCACACCACGTAAGTCATTTTTTTTAGTGTTGTTGTAAGTGTGAAAAAACAGTCATAAGACACTTTTTTTAGCGCCGTTGTAACTTCGAACGATCACTAAGTGAACTGTTGTACAGTAAGTTGAGGACGACCCGTAGTTTTCTCCATTCTGTACAATATTATGCATGATGCCAGTTCAAAACCTGTTTGCATCTTAAAGGTGTAACTCCTGGGCTTTGTTTACGGTATCATAAGCACCAAGCAGAGAAGGGACCTGCTGCTGCTGCTGCTGCTGAATTCTGGATCCCATGCGTGTTATTGTTACGATTATTTTATTTTACGATACGTAGACATTTGTCAAAATGTTCGCAAGTTGTCGTAACGTGGTAAAACATAGGTTCTTATTACAGGTAGTCCTCAACTTACAGCATTCAATTAGTGACCGTTCGAAGTTACAACGGCACTGAAAAAAGTGGCTTATGACCGTTTTTCACACTTAATGACTGTTGCGGCATTCCCGTGGTCAGACGATCAAAATTCAGATGCTTGGCAACTGACTCACATTTATGACGGTCGCAGTGTCTTGGGGTCATGTGATCAGCTTCTGCGTGACCTTCTGACAAGCCAAGTCAGTGGGGAAGCCAGATTCACTTACTAACTTAACAGCTTCAGTGATTCACTTAACAACTGTGACTAGAAAGGTCATCAAATGGGGCAAAACTCACTTAACAAAGGTTTCACAGAAATTTTGGGCTAAATTGTGGTCGTAAGTTGAGGACCAGCTGTATAAGATTCTTTCTAAGATGCTGCCCATCTTGCAGTTCAAGGCAATTCCGGGTAGCTTAAACAGTGTAATAAAACATATTGATATGAAAACAATTATAAATATTAAAAACAGATTAAAATTACAGAAGATTAAAAGCAATCTAAAAAAAACACAGCCTTGAAGTGGAGCAGTGGTGATGCCTTCACTGTTATTACACCAAGTCTGGAATTTCTCCTTCAGAGCCCCGTGCCATCTAGCCTAGGCAGGTTTCAAAGGCTTTTCCTGAAAGTCAGAAGAGATGGGGCAGATCTCACCTCCAGTGGCAAGATGTTCCAAAGGGTGGGGACCGAGGCAAAAAAAAAAAAATCTCTTCTCTTAGACCCTACCAGCTAAAATTCCTTGGCTGATGGGATTTGCAGGAAGCCTCTTCTATCAGCATGAGTGGGGCAGGACAATAGGATCAGGAGAAGACAGACCCTCAGATATCCTCGATCTATGCCATAGAGCAGGGGTCCCCAACCCCCAGGTCTGTGGACCGGCACCGGACTGCAGCATGTCAGAAACGGGTCCGCACAAACAAGCAAAGCCCCATCCACGGGATGCAGGCAGTACATGAAACCACGCCCCCTCCGGTCCACGGAAAAACCTCTCCCCACGAAACTGGTCCCTGGTGCCCAAAAGATTGGGGACCTCTGCCATTGAAGGCTTTAAACGTAATAAGCAACACCCTGAATTGGACCCAGAAGCAGATTGGCAATCAGGGCATCTTACATAACAGTGTGGCGTTACATGTGCCAACTTAGGGGCTTCTTAAACTCTGCACTGCCGCATTTTGGACAATTGTAGCTTCCGAATACTATTCAAAGGTAGCCCCCTGTGAAGCGTATCGTAATAATCCAAACAAGAGATGACCGGACTGAGTCCAGGAGCCTCAGGATCCAGAAAATGATGCAGTTGGCACATAATATGAAATTGTGTAAAGGCTGTCCTAGCCACACCGGCCACCTGCTCTTTGAGCAGGAGTTGCAAGTCTAAGAGAACCCCAAAGTTGTTCACCAGGTCTATATGAGGTAGTGCAGTGGTGGCAAACCTATGGCACGGGTGCCAGAGGCGGCACTCAGAGCCCTCTCTGTGGGCACAGGCACCGTCGCCCCAGTCCTAGGCCTTCAGCTGGGTTTTATAAAACCTTTTCTCTTTAGGCCTCCGCCGCCATGTGCAAAAAAAAAAAGGTTCAATATATCAATCAATTTCAACTTCTCACGGGAAAAAAATGATCTTGCAAAGTGGGAATTGATTGATTGAACTTTTTAGTCCCACCCAGTCTGCCGTTACCACTGCAGCCACTCCCACCCAATGGGCCATGCCCACCCAATGGGCCACACCCACCCGGCACCCGACAATGCATAAGTGGGTTTTGGGTTGCAGTTTGGGCACTCAGTCTCTAAAAGGTTCGCCCTCACTGAGGTAGTGCATCCCATCCAGAACTAAAGATGATAAACCTCCTGATCCCAAGGCTCCATGTAGCCACAGCGACTCAGTCTTACCAGGGTTCAGCCTGTTGTCCCCCATCCAGCCCCCAGGCACTGTAAAAGGACAGCCACAACATCACTTGGATCACCAGGGATGGAGATGTAAAGCTGTCGTCAGCATATTGATGATATCTCATCCCGCGGTGTCAGTCACCCAGCCGTTTTTTATACAGTAGATATTAAAAAGAACGGAGAAAGTACCAAGCACTGCAGTACCCCACAAAGGAACAGCCATGGGCAGGACTTCTCACC